CGGTGGCCAGGAGCGGCCACTGCACTCCAGTCTGGGTGACAGAGTGAGACTCCAACTCAAAAAATAAAAAAATAAAATAAAATAAAATAAACAAAATAAAAATTAGCCAGATGTGGTGGCATGCACCTGTAGTTCTAGCTACTTTGGAGGCTGAGGGAGAAGGGATTGTCTGAGTCCAGCAGGTCAAGGCTGCGGTAGCCATGAGCATACCACTGTACTCCAGCCTGGCGACAGTGAGACTCTGACTCAAAAAATATAATAGAATAAATAAAATAAAACATTTAGGAAAACCCATGGAACGGCTGTGGGTCTGTCTCAACTTACCTGGTTCTTGGATTTTTGATGAAACCAGTGTTGATAAAATTAGGACAGAGACATGTTGTTTTGACTCCAGTTCTTTCCAAGGCAGCCAGTTCATCTGTCAGAGCTCTGTGGAATCCAACAGCAGCAAACTTGCTGGAGCTGAAAGTAAACAGAGATAGCTTGCCAAGTCATTCAAGAATCCTGACTTGTGGCTTCATTCACGTATCTGCTTTCCTTGGTTAAGTGTGGTCCTCTGCAGAGCCGTGTGGGCACCCGTGACTCTCAGGCCCCATCCAGACCTACTGAATGAGAGTCTGCATTTTTCAAGAGGTGCAATCAACGTGCAGGCCTGCTGAAGTCTACGAAGTACTGACATGGAACATTCACTGCCTCACAGCAGCACTGACCTGCCTGAGAACTCAGGATGTGGAATATCTTTCTATGCAACATAGGATAGTGTTTTTGTTGTTTCCATAAAATTCTATGTCATTCTAAGCTGTTCATAATTTATTTTTAAATTGTTCATGGAGGCCAGACGTGGTGGCTCATGCCTGTAATTCCAGCTCCTTGGGGGGCTGAGACTTGGGAAGATTGCTTGAATCTGGGATTTCAAGAGTAGCCTGGGCAACATAGCAAGACCTTGTCTGTTCCAAAAAATAAAACCCAAAATCCTACTCATGAAATTTAGTAAGAAATTTTTCTGGATAAATTATATTCTTCATTTAAGTCACAGCTTTATTTCCTGGCCCCTAGACTAAATTATTTTCTCTTTATATAGTAATTTTCAGTTTTCTGTGATAGCATGTCTGAGATTTATAACTGAACATTCATTTGGAATTAATTTTTTTTTTTTTGAGTCTCACTCTGCTGCCCAGGCTGGAGTGCAGTGGCACGCTCATGGCCACCACAGCCTCAAACTGCTGGGCTCCGGCGATCCTTCCACCTCAGTCTTCCAAGTAGCTGGAACTACAGGCGCGTGCTACCATGCCCGGCTAATTTTTGATTTATTGTAGAGATGAGGTCTCAGTAAGTTGCCCAGGCTGGTCTGAAAACCTTGGACTCACGCATTCCTCGAACCTCAGCCTCCCAAAGCTGGGATTACAGGCTGAGCCACCGTACCCAGCCTGCTTTACATTGCAGTTCATTCATTTGACAAATATGTATTGGGCAGCTACTAAGAGCCAAGCACTGTGCTAGGTCCTAGAGAGTTACTGGTAACCAAAACAGTCATGGAGCTTATCATAAAGGTGTGGAGAATGGATGCTTTAAAAAAAATTAATTCCAGCCAGACTGCATTAGCCCTCGAGCTGAGGGCACAACATCTAACTGGAACGGCTCTGAAACAGATGATACGCAATCACAATGCCACAGTTCTGTGACAGTTTTGCCAGTTATTTAATCTTTTTTAAAAAAATTAAATCTAAGTCTATATTTATATTTAAAATTATTAGAAAGTTAATACAGGCTCAGAGAAAAAGAATAAGGAAGAAGGAAAGAAAGAAAAATATAGATGAACAAATAGAACAAAATGAAGAATGGCTGGGTGTGGTGGCTGATGCCTGTCATCCCAGCACTCTGGGAGGCCCAGGTGCAAGGACTGCTTGAGCCCAGAAGTTTGAGACAAGTCTGGGCGACATAGTGAAACCTTGTTTCTACAAAAAATAAAAAAAATTAGCCAGGCGTGGAGGTGCAAAGCTGTAATCCCAGTTACTCCAGAGGCTGAGGCAGAAGGATCGCCTAAGCCCAAGAGGTTGAGGCTGGGGTGAGCCATGAGACCTTGACTCAAAAAAAATTTTTTTTTAGCTGGGCACAGTGGCTCACGCCTATAATTCCGGCACTTTGGGAGGATGAGGTGAGAGGATTGCCTGATCAGCCTGGGCAACTTGGTGAAGGTTCAAGACCAGCCTGGGTAACTTGGTGAAACCTCGTCCCTATAATAAAGCAAAAAAAAAAAAAAACCAAAAAAAAAGAAATAGCCAGACATGGTGGCACGTGCCTGTAGTTCCAGCTATTTGGAAGGCTGAGGTGGAAGGATCAACTGAGCCCAGCAGGTTAAGGATGCATTGGCCGTGAGTGTGCCACTGCACGCCAGACTGGACGACAGAGTGAGACTCTAACTCAAAAAAAAAATTTTTTTAATATCTTCCTCCATTTGATCAATTCTTTACAGCCCAGTGGAACACACCAATACTGGGACCTGCTTGCTGCCTCAAGCTCTTCAGTTATTATAAGGGCATGGTTTTTAAAATAGGTAATCATTAAATTTTTTTTAAAATCCATTGTTTGGATACTTTTAAAGTTTAAAAGCCCAGATAATACTTACTCTCTCTCACACACACATTTTGTTTTGTTTCCACAAAATTTTACTCACTTTTTTTTGAGTTGGAGTCTCACTCTGTCACTCAAACTGGAGTGCAGTGGCCGCTCCCGG